GTTCCGAAAATGTTATTTTTATTAAATATATTTTTTTATTTTGCAGTAAAATAATCTATTTTCGAGCTCCCATTTCAAAATCAAATAATTTATTCTGCGGTCTCTCCAGGCGATAACCTTTAACCGGGCTGATGAACCAGGAGGACGCGTAAAATGTCCACAGTACTATGAGGTCAATCCACAGAGATAGTATTAATCCACAGATCTGTGAGCCCAGTAAATAACACACTATACTAATCCATAGCTGAATTGACAAATCCACTAGAAGATCAATCAATCCACCAAATGTCAGGTAATCAAACAAACTAAATTTTAGCCAACCAGTGACCGATTACAAACCTCCGGAGATTGGCCGACACGCATCCAATCAAAATCTGCGGTAGGAAACGTCGAGACCAGCCACCGACAACGCCACCTGACTCCCCCTGCTCTCTACGCGCAGCACTCGTAAGCCCATAGTGAGTAGCTAGACGAAATCCTCTACCTACCGTACGGACGCTAAAACTACCTAATTATTGTATTTTGTTTGCTTGATTGCTAACAATGTATCTGACACAGCCGCTTTAACAAATGGGAAAGCCACTCCCGTGGGCTATGCTGTATCGGCAGGTGTCGGAGGTGGAAAGCGAGCGTATTGTGGAGAACATGAAGCACGCGAAGAAACACACACAAAGTCACTGTCAGCAACACATCGATATGTGCCGTGTGTACGGATCCATCACCTCACACAATGCGATACCGGGTCTTCTCGTGTTCTTCAGCTACGTGTGCGGATGCGTGTGTCGCACCTTTGAGGTGTCGTTGGAAATGCAGGACGCTTGTATGCTGCAAAAGCGGCATAGTGAATATTTACGAGTTTGGTTTACACGAAGTGAAAGGAAATGATCCTCCTACTGGCGGCCTGACGTTGGAACAAAAGAGAACGGCGCGCCAACTAGCTGTTAACGGTCTGAAACCTGCTCGAATTTGAAACGCGCTGGCTGTTGGTGCCTCTGCGGAAAAAAATCCGCATCTCAGCAAGGCGCAAAGTTTTGTTACGTATTGCCGCAAGACTGAATTGAACAATACGGACGACTTGGATATTCTGGAGGAAGCTATCAGAGCAAAAGCCTACACTGGGCTAGAAGAAGAAAGCTCTGTATTTTCGTTTTCGAGCAACATGAATTGTAATGGAGACATCAATATTGGTGAAGGAATCGACACTGGCACATTTTTTGTCGGCTTCACTACAAAGACACTCTTAAAACGACTCGACCGTGATCCGCACAGTTTCATTTTGCATTTTGATGCGACCTACAAGTTGAACCAAGTGGATTATCCTACCTTTGTCTGTGGAATTTCTGACCATTCTTGTTCCTTTCACTTGGTTGCTTTGTTCGTCGTGTACAACAAGAAGAGCGTCACTACGCGAGTGCGCTTGCATCCCTCCGAGCTATCTACGCTCGATTTTTGCGGAAGCCGATGGTAGTGCACTACATTCTTGGAGACGCCGACGGAGCCCAGTACAATGCGATGGCATCAGTGCTCGAGGATTGTGAAACAGAGATTTTGATGTGCTTTTACCACGTTATCGCAAAAGTTCATGAGCGGACGAGGTATCTACTACCCAATAAGCGTAGCCTGGTCTTGGTCGATATATTTGATATGCATTACGCAAGAAACGCGTCGGAATTTCATGCTAAAAAGACGTCTGCAGTGCGGCGGTGGCTTGCCGACCCAGATGTCGAGCGATTTGGAGAGTATTTTCTGCAGCAGTGGCTGACGGGAAAGTTTGTGCAATGGCAGTGCTTCCGTACGCCTGTTGGTTGGGCAACTACAAATAATCCCGTGGAAACGTTCAATGCCAAGCTGAAGAAAACCTACACTCTACGAGAGCGAATGCTAATGGGGTCTTTGCTTGGTCAACTTCAAGTTTGTTGTCGAATGGAGAGCGTGTCGGGTGCTGCATTCCATGAAACATCTACCGCTAGCAGCAGGCTTCGACGGCGCGCGACAGCTTTGCGCCGACAGCAACTGCTCGTTGAGACTCCATCCTTCGACGGCTCCAGCAATTTAGTACTTGTCGTTTCTAAAGCTACACCTCGAATCTACGTGAAGCCGAAGAGGAAGTCGATGGAAGTTGTGGATGTGGATGTGCAACTTGGGTGCTAATGCGGCTAGAATGGAAAGAGATGAACAGCCGGAGGAAGGATGGTCAGTGGATCTAACTACTCGCACTTGCCCATGTAAATACATTTTTCTACAAAGGCCATTTTTTACATCTTCTCTTCGCCTTTTATACAAGGTTTGGTACTGACCCAACCTGGCAAGAAAGAAGTTGTTCAACCGCAGCCGGCGCAACAAAAGAAAAACCTTTAGAAGATCAGATCGCAGAAGCAGCCGAAGCAGGACCCAGTCCAAACGTGGACGTCCGGATCCTTAAACGGTCCTGCTTATCGTTTGTTTGTAGACACACGAAATGAATGTCTGCTTTGAAATAATACCAATCCACTTCATCGCCTTTATTGGCCCATCTTTCTTTGCTAATGGGTTCTTAATTAATACCGTAATAAGGGGTCCTTTGCCGAGTTTGGAGCACACACGGAACAAGGCCCAAATAAAGGGCCTGAATGAATGAACC